ACATACAAGCATATATGTACAAACCAGTTTACATGATTGACACTAAAATATTTTCATAGTAAATTTTGAAATGGTCTCATCAAACGGTACGATTTACAACGTAATACTACTTTCGCATTTCTTGTCGTACTGGCCTCCCACAATGATAGGTGACGGATTACCAAATTTGTACCAGATTATCAGTGTAATGTGTAATTCAATACTTTACCGATAAGTGTTTAAATTTAACAGTTAAAATTAGTCCAAGAAATCCGTGCATAAAATAAGGTGAATTGTGCACTTCTTGTGAAAAGCATGAAACTTGGCATGGTGGCAGGAAATAGTATTTCAATTCATTTTAGCCTGGGATCCACTTTTTAAAAATCCAATATGGCCGCCAAAATCCAAGATGGCCGCCATATATTAAAATGTGCAGACTATTTGGGTATTTCAGCTGTAGTCATACCTAGAATAACTAGTATAAAAAAGCATCAGTTCATTATATTACAGATAAATTTATATTCAGGCCTCTAATCCAGGTTGTGCAAATCCAAAATGGCCGCCAAAATCCAAGATGGCCGCCATTTATTTTATTTTTCAAAATATTAAAGTTTTTCAGCTGTATTCTTTACAGGCCACTATGAAATAGCACCACTTTATTATATTACACATTGATATATATTCAAGCCTCGGATCCAGGTTGTGCAAATCCAAGATGGCTGCCAAAATCCAAGATGGCCGCCATATTAAAATTTTCAGAATGTAATAGTTTTCAGCTGTTGTCGTCAATACAGAACAGTATAAAATAAGACCTTTTTAAAATTATGGTATTGCATATTTATTTATATTCAAGCTTTGGATCTAGGTTTTGCATATCCAACATGCTTAACGAAATCCAAGATGGCCACCATGTTGAATTTTTCAGAATATGTTAGCTTACCAGCTGTAATCATTTTCAAATAAGTATAAAATAGCACAAATACATTATATTACATGTTTTTTAACCAAACCAGCATGAAGAAAATTTTTGGGAGACGTATTGTATTTGCCTTCGCCGTCTGTCTGTCTGTCCGTTCGTCCGCATTAAGCTTGTCCATCCTTCACAGGTCAAACTACAGGCGGGATTTCAACTTCACTTTACAGGAGTAATCAGTACCTGTTTTTTGATGCGTTTATTTAAGGTCACCGCCGAAGAGCCCATATGGGCGACCGTATACACAAGTCAGGCCATCCTTGAGCGTCCTGCCGAGATTTTTCGTCGATAGTTTTCCAGCTTTATTGGTGGAGGAAGACCCCATGTGCTTCGGGCTTTATTTCAGGCACAAGCGGGCACCTGGGTAGAACCACCGACCGTCCGGTAAGCCAGCTGGATGGCTTCCTCACATGAAAGATTTCGACCGAGTGAGGATGGAACCTACAGCGGTGAGGGACCTGTGATCTCAAGTCAGCGACTTTAACCACTCGGGCCACGGAGGCCCCCCTAATCAGTACCATCACCGTCACATTCCGCTTCCGCTGCACAAATGACGTCGCCAGAAGCTAAAAGCAGAAAGTCTTGCCCAGGCCTTCACTGGTCAAACCTACTGGTTGAATATCAACCAAACTTTACAGGAGAGAGCAGAAATATCCCTAGTTATGCATTACATTACCAGCACATTTCGCTTCGCTGCACAAAATGGTCGTCGGAGCTATAAATAGAAAAATATTGTCCGGCTTTCACAGGTCAAGTTACTGGTGGGATTTCAATGAAACTTCACATGAGTGACCATGCATAGTTTTGGGAGACATATGTTTTTGTAACAAAAACCCATTTAGTTATGAAACTATTTTAAAGCATCCGATTCATATTGAAACATGCTCATAATTAAATTGCTCAGAGTTATTTTTACTTGATTTACGAAAACTCAAAAGAAACAAAGAATATTTAAAACAAAAAATGGAAGTTGAACTATCTCATTATTTCATTATCTGCCCGTGAATAAAAATTTCTTTGCTAATTTTAGGTAATTTCAAGTTCAAGCAACTTGCAATCAAACTAAGCTGAGCCATATTCCAATGATATAATATGTAGCTGACCTCCTATTGGGTCATTGTGCAAGTTATAGAAATTTTTGTATATTTTTACCAACAGCTATGTAATTTTCCCTAAAAAGAAAACACTTCATAATAATAATTTCAGAGAATTCTAGACTCTGTCATTTGTATCTGGATAAAAATAAAAAGTTAAACGTAACCCAAGACTACTTGAAGTACTTTATGTCAAAGTTAAAAGTGACCAGTTCTTAAAAAAATTGTGGATACTACAGGCTAGTAAATTGCTGAAAATGTTAGAAAGAATGATATTTCAACAGTTGTACATCCGGTTGCTTTTATACTAACTTATTCAGGGTAATGTTTAAAGTGTTATAAACTAATAATAATCAGTATAAACAAGAAAACTCTATAATTAACACCTATTGATCTAGTACTGAATGTCTGTCAAGTTAAAGATCAATTGTTCATTGTTATTGTGATTCTAGGAGTAAATAAAAAAATAAAATAAAAAAAGAAGAGGAAATGGCAACCTCATGAATTAAGCTAAATGCGGCATGATTTCACTAGTTCTTGTGTACATTCCTTTTATGATAGTTGTGGAAATCAAACAGAAATTATTTAATCTAAGTAAACAATTTAAAATTTGTTAAAGAGTTTCCATTGTTTTTGAAATACAAAAAAAAAACCAACAAACAACTGAGATTATAAATCAACTATTATACTGTAATAACAGAAAATACATATGATTATGTAAGGCTTAATCAGGCATTTCAACTGCTTTAAAATATAAAAGGGATAAACTAACAAGAAATTTAAGAGCGTTGCACCTGGAATGCAGACCCGAAAGTCAGTAAGTTAGTATCTCAATCTTACAATTGTTATCTCATATCAAAATTATCAAATAGAAAGAGCTGCAAAAGTCTAAACTTGATCTCATAAAAAGTCACGAATTACTAATCTTAATAATGTTAAACACTTAAGTTTGATTACAGAAAAACCCAAGATATTTTTGTTCAATATCATTCCGTTTTTCTTGTTTATTCACAAGACCTTGCCAAAATAATGACATAATAAGAGTCTGATTCAAAATATATGCTGCTTAAGTTACTAATGAAAAAGAACTCACAGCTGCAGCAAGAGATCACAAGGATGATGCAAACTAAATTTATTAAAAAGAATTGACAGGAGTAGAAACCCTAACGTCTCCGACACTAACTAGTATAAATCATACTGAACATTTGGTTCAAATAAGCTAAGGAATTGTGTCCAATAAAATATATAATACAATAGAGGATTAATTCACACTTTTCATGCATTAACATCTACAGAAGCGTGAAAACGCATTCTGAGCCCTCATTCTATGGGCTCAGAATTCAATTTCTGTAAATGTTGATGCACAAAATAATGTATTAGTCATTCTGTTTCGGTGATTCTACGATATGTTGTTTTCTGCATAAAGAAACTAGTTTTGTATTGATTTTAACTTTAATTTTTGTGTGTTATGTTTTGATAACAAGGTCATTATTAAAATCAGCGGCTTTGCATGGTATCAGAATCATGCACATTGACAAGAGCTATTGGTAGGACATCATAAAGTGTTAGACTGTTTTCGGTGCTTTATAGCTAAACAAGAACCTAGATTATGAAGAATTCTCTATATTTAAAAGGGACATAATTCTGTCAAAATCCATGAAAGAGTTATTGACCTTTAATGGTGACCCTCTATTATGCTAAAAGATTAACGTATTCCATCATGATTTTTTTTACAAAACCAACTTGCATGAAAAACTTGTAAAGCTGCCGCCTTTAGTGTACAATATCACTTGCTCCCTATTCTTTGAAATATCAAGCTAAATAATGTGCTCGCATGGTTTTATCCATAAATGCAAGTTTTTTTTCTCTGTAAATGTACATCTGTATATGCAGTTTTATGCAGGAATACCACATTTTTAGTTTGTTACATGTATTAAAAATGTTGATGATACAAATTACCTTTATTATAGAAATTTGTCAAAATATCATCAATTAATGGCAGCCATATTGGATTTTGAAGCCATATTGAATTTTCTACCAATGCTTCTTAAGCATTTTCCAAGAAATTACTATTTTTGAATGATAATGTAAATCTATATCATTTTCTAGTCATAAATAACTTCATTTTGACATGCCCTGTGTACATATTACATTTTGGCGGCCATCTTGGATTTTGGCGGCCGTCTTGGATTTTTAAAAAGTGGATCCCAGGCTGAAATAACTTGAAATACCATTCCTTGACACCATGCCAAGTTTCATGCTTTTCACAGAAGGTGCACAATTTTTTCACAAATTTCTTGGACTAAATGATAAAAATTAAAGCCAGGATATGTTCAAATATGTATAAGGGTTAATCAGGCTTGAGGTTATGATACTGGTTATGGTAATGCAGTTGGAATGCATTACTTTTCTTGAGAGTAATGCAATGTAATGATACTGCATGCCAATTTGTATTACTTGTATTGGTACTGAAATGCAAAATTCAGGTAATGAAGGTACATTTTTTATGCATTACTTTGCATTACTTCACCAAACTTACAACATCATATATGGTACGAATGATCCAAATAACACACGATAAAATTGTGATGGCCTTAATCAGTGAAATCAAATTCCCTACGGCTTTACCTAAACTAACTTGTTTGCAAGGAAAATCTTGATTTAGTGCACAGTAAATATTATTTAGCTAATTATAAGTCTTTTTAAATATCAGTTATATTTCAGTTATTCTTTGCTACAATAGCTTCTTTGTGCAAAACAAAACAAGACAAGCAGTCCAGAACAAATTTATTCACTTCAAGTACATAGAACGTTATAAACATGTTTGGTAACTTCAACGGTTCTAATATTGATTTGATTAAATGTAAATGAATGCCTTTTTATTCAATTCATTTGCGTAAAACCGATATTTGTTTATTTATAAAAGAGCCTCTGTTAATAAAATCAGTTAACCGCAGTTACTTGGTAAGGAAAAGAGTCATTTCTGGAAAAAGTGTCTAACTGGTAAAAGCGTGTTTTCAGGGAAAAGCGTCTTTTCGAAATTATGCCTCTGTTTGGATATAAAATTGTTTGGTTTTGTATTAAGATGTTAACAATCATGCAAATATGTTCAGCAGAGCAAAATGTGAAACAAAAAGCCCGAATAAACTATAAACTCAAAGTCGAACGTGTATTTGATGACATCAAATCAAAAAGCCTTTCTCATTGTTTGATATTTTGTTCGATGCAGCAAGATTGTATTACGGCGTCATTTAAATCACCGGCCGAAAATTGTTTGTTGTCGTCGTACGATACAATTGATGACAGCGGAAGTGGACCTGGCATTCCAGAGGGATTAGTATATGCAGATGGATGGACTACAATGACAAGGATTAGATACCCAGGTAAGATTCTAAACCATTTTCATAGTCTGGTCATTTTAAAGGAACATTAGGAGGTGCGTTTAAGGGAGCGGTAGCCTAGTCATTAAGATGTCTGCCTATCAACCCAGAGATTACGGGTTCGAGCCCTGATCGGGTCACGATCATGTTTCTTCATATGACACCAGCACTGGTTGGTTCCATGAAGCGACTCGAAAGTGCTTTATATAAGTTACAACAACTTGGTTTGCAATCGAACTTAAAAATATATATTTAAACCAATATGTTTAAACAAAAGGAACATTGTCCCTTCAGAAACAAAGACAGTTTATCTTTTAAGTGACGTTTTAGAGATACTGGCATTATGTCATTTTAGATGCCTATTATCTGAAGTAAGTAGTGCGGAATATGACGTTTGTTGTCAAAAAGTAGCAAAATGTTAGTAGTTTTGTCTTCAATACAAAATACATTATAAACTTGAATGTTAACCAATTTTATTTTGACCGAGTATCTTTTTTATAGATACTTATTGTTTACTATTTAATCAAAGCTATTTAAGACGCGAAAATCACTCAAGGTGCAAACAACTAAATTTTCTGTCTTTCCATTGTAACTCTGATAATGTCCATTCACACGGTGCATTTCCATATCGGTACCCTCTTGCACATGCCCAGGTTATTCTCTGCTTAAAACAAACCAGCGATGGGTAATAATCCAGAAAAAAATCATTGTAATAAGGAAAGGATGTATGACACATGGAAAAGATGTATACCACAGAACACTAGAATGTTTTATTGATGTGCTGATTTTTCATGTGCCCGTTTTTAATGGATTGCAACTTCACAATAAGCTACATAAAATCGACATATCTTGCCTCGGCCATCACCTCGACATATTTCGCGGGCTGAAATGAACATGTGACTTGATTATATATGCATCATATATATTTAATATTTTTATTGACATATCATCTTTGGACAAATGGCAATATATTGTCAAAAATAAATGTCAAATTCATAAAAACACCCTACTTTCGGTTTTGCATCGGCACGGGATACCTCTCTTCCTTTGAATTTTTATGTCACAGGTACACTCTCATTTTAACACATAGGTACCCTCAAAGCACGACATTTGCCCTTTATTTGCGTTAATTGTTTAGTATGTAATATTTCTTACTTTCCGTTCCGTGGTATACATCTTTTCCACGTGCCATACCTCCTTTCCTTATTACAATGAAATTTTACTGGATTGTTATCCATCGCTTGTTTGCTTTGCTTTTAGCAGAGAATGACCTGTGCATGTGTAAGAGGGTACCGTTTGAGCAGATTTCGCAGAGGGTAACGATATGGATATACACAGTGATTCAAGGAGAACATCGGGAAAATAAGGGGCTGAATCAAGACAAAAAAGGCGCCCATTTTAAAATAAACCACGTGCCCAGACTGTATAAGTACAAAGTTCTTAGTCACGTGCCACACTTGCATTCGTAGCACGAATAACTCCAATTGGCCTATGGGAAATTAAAGTTACAAAAAAGAGAGTGGTTATAAAGTATAAATATTTAAATAAAAATATAAACGCTTTGAACTATGAAAGATGATTCCTTTTTAACTGTTGACAGTCCATAATTGACTTAATTATTAATTGTTCATCTAAACGTCATTGTTTTCAGGGATGATACAGTGTATGATTCACAATATCGATTTTATCTACATATTTTATATTCAGTTTTTCACGCCGTTGGACAGTACTCAGCGTACAGTATGACGTTTGAACAAGCTCAACAACAATGTGTTGACTATGGAACAACAATAGCGTCCCCATCTGACCTTCTGCAAGCACGATCCTTGGGGTACCACGCATGTGTCGTAGGCTGGCTGTCTGATGGAACCAATGGCTATGTTGTGCAGTATTCTGCAGCAGGATGCGCTTTCAGTGAATCCATTATATATTACAATAACGCTCGTGCTAATGTTTACTGTAAATTGAATTAATGAATTCTTTAAGTCTTGTTATGACTTGTAACTATTATTTATTACATTGTGTCTAGCATACATTGGAATTATATTTTCACACTTTTACAGTGAAAGTATTAAACTAGATTTTTAAATTTCACAGAAGTCAGGCTACATTTGAATGCCCTAGAACTGAAAAAACCATAAATACACAGATATCGTGAGACATGAATTTCTTCGTAAGTAAAAATGTGATTGTACAAGTGAAAAACGAAATTATTTACACTTATCAAGTTTTAAAAAAAAGAAACATTACAGATATATAACATGGACATTGCACCATACGATCTCCTTAATTGATGACTCCAAGAAGGATTTTCCTTTTTCTTTGTGTATAGTGACAAAAATGGGAGTAGTCAAAACCTCTTTTTCGGTTTGAGTGAAGCGGAACAAATAATATATCTATTTTTACAAGAACGGGTACAATTTTATTCTCAAATTATATTTCTTGAAGAATGGTGTTCGAAAAAGATTATATGAAGATTATATGAAACAAATATTTATTTTGCATCGTTTTTAGAAATTTTATCATGGCCTAACACTTTACTGTGTCTGTCGTTTACTTTTAACACCTGTGCTTCTGTATTTATAGTAAGTAGTGTTAGTTCAAACAAAGTTGATAGAGATACCGAGAAGCGTGTAAAAATGATTTGTCACTCCCGCATCAGTCACTACTTTAAAATTAAACTGTGTCTTAAGGTGAATGATTTGTGTCATTCGTGTTTTCGCCCTGCGACCCCGCCAACGGAAAACTCGAAAATTAACAAGTTAAAATGGCGAGGGTGTGCAGCGAAAACACGCTTATTAACGAGTGCGGGGGGCGAAGTTTAATAAATAAAAATTCGCCCCGCGGAGACTCAGAATGAGATCTAAGAAATAAAACGGCGGGAACGCGGGACAAAAACATGCTTATTAGTTTAGTTTGATAATATCTTATTGCATATATGAGATATACATCAATTCATTTACATCAACAAAGTTGTACAATATAAAAAGGGTTGGGCCTAAAGTTTTTACAACATACTTCGCCGCGAGCGTGCTTTCGCAAAGCGAAAGTCGATAATACACAAGTTGAAATGGCGGAACGATTATAAGCTTGTTTTTGCAGCGCGCCCCGCCGTTTTATTTCTAAAATCTCTCCCCGCGGGGGCCTGCGTCCTGGATAAAAGGCGTGTTTTCGCTCCGCGCCCCGCCATTTTAACTTGTTCATTCTCGACTTTTCGCTTGGCGGCGCGAAAACACAAATGGCACAAATCAGCCACCATAATGTCGGCAGTTACGGAGTTGTTACATGAATGACCCATCGACCGTCTCTTACAATTATGACAATACACAAGATGGAAAAGAAAGCTATTATTAAACTTTTTGCATTTATGAAAACAAAAACAAATCCTTTTTAAAACATCGTAGGAACCTCCGTTAACTACTTCATTCATCGAACAAAGAGTATGCCATTAACTTAGCTGTAAAGGTGTCATTTATCTTACATAATTGATAGTTCAAAATATCACTTTGTTGCTTTTCAAATTTAACGTTTTCTGATGAAAAACCCATCTACTCGTATTGGGTGAATGTTAGATTCAAATGTCTGAAATTTTGTTTTCTTAAGTTGATTTGGTAAAATTCCCTTGCTCATTCCTAAATATCAACAAAAATAAATGTGACGTACTGTGACATATATTTTTATTTCAAATTCATTTTCCGGTGGAAATTTAATAATGCATTTGTGTATTAGGATCGCTGTATTGATTTAGGACAAACTCTTTCAAATGCGTCAAAGCATTAGATGATTTAATTACGTATCTGTTGATATGTAACGGGTATTTACCTAATTTTCCATACACTGCATTATTACTAGCATATTGTTTAACTCTTAATATTGATTTGCAAAACTTGTTACAATGTTTCAAACAAGATTTTACACTTGAATACATAGCTTTGAATATATTTAAAATTTACTATCCAAGCCCATCTTAAATGATTTATACCATAGCGCGTTTCTATACACAGAGTCAAACGCTTTTTTAAGATCGGCAAAAACGCACGGAAATCTTTTATTTTCAGATGTCGTACTAAATCATGTAAAATAAAAATTGCATCCACAATGCTTAGCCCTTTTCTGAAACCGAACTGGGCGTCTGATAAGATATTATTATCATCAAACCATTTTCTACCCTTGAAGTTAAAATACTAGTAGATTGTAAATTACTGATTAATGTTATACCCTGTAATTATTTGCATTTCTACTATCCCCTTTTTATGCGAAGGTACAATAAAACCTTGCGTCCACAATTCTGGAAAATAGCCTTCGTAAAAAAAATCAAATAAATCTATGATATGCCTAACCATGATATCAATAGTTTCAATAAAATATTCATTAAGTAAATTGTCACTTGGCGATGCCGATTTGTTACGATGTAAATTGCGAACTTCAGCGCGAACTTCATCACGGGTAATCCGCATGTTAAATTCACCAAAAGTAGGGTTATCTGTTTTAGTATTTCCGTCATCAATAAATGTTTCATCCTCGGGAATGATTGCTGTTTTGATTTCATTAAACTTTTTAAAAAAAGTACTTTTCAAATTCTTTAGCACATACATCGTCCTCCGTATGTCTCTTTTGTTGTTTAAAATATTGCCAAAATTTTCTTGGTTTACTGGTTTTTAAATTAGTAAATTCTTGCGAATTCTTTATATTAAATGCTCTTTTATTTTTTCTCAAAATAATTTTATACGTCTTTTAAGAATCACATGAAGATAATATGTTTAAACATGACTTATCATTGTTAAAATATACAGCTTTTCTTTATATATGCGTTTCGCATCAGGGCATTCGGTATCGAACCAAGAGTTATCATACCTTTTTGCACTCTTACAATAAACATTTTATCAGCTGATTCACAAATCAAGTGAGAAAAATTTGATACTAAATCATTACAGTACTTATTTCTTGAACATTATTTACACTCATGATACTATAAAATTATTCATAACATGGTTATGGCCAAATTTGAATTTAGAAACATCCGCAGATCCATGTTCATACGGCGATAATCATAAAACCTTCAATGGGAAACGTGAGTGCCATTCAATGAAAAGAAGCGTATGGTCCCTTAATAAAAAATAA